GGACCTCTCATCATCATCTCCCACAAACACCACCCCACTGGGCTTGAATGCCTCCAGGAACAGGAAGCTCACTCCTCCTTTCTTGCCCCCAGCTGGAAAGGGACCAGCAGGGCTGCTTTCTTGGAGCTTCCAAGAGTTTTCTGGGCAGAGGAATTTTCCCCTAGCCATGGCCTGGGGGTGAGGATAGGCTGACTCCTCTCTTCCCTCCGACTCCCAGACCCGGAGTGGGCAGGGCTGGCCAGGCCGTTTTGCCAGAGTTTGCCCACACCCAGCTCCTGGCATGATAGCCCTGCTGTGGCCCTATCACAGGGTACAAACAGACACGGACAATTTCAGAGCCGGGAGGGTACACTGGCAACTCATCTCATAAGGTGTCCTGGGCTACAGGGCCGTTTTCTTATTTTAACCTGTTCAGAGTTTTAACAGATTTTGAAATAGGTGTCAATATGTTATTTTATTTTATTTATTTATTTATTTGAGACAGAGTCTCACTCTGTTGCCTGGGCTAGAGTGCTGTGGCGTCAGCCTAGCTCACAGCAACCTCAAACTCCTGGGCTCAAGCAATCCTTCTGCCTCAGCCTCCCGAGTAGCTGGGACTACAGGCATGCGCCACCATGCCCGGCTAATTTTTTCTCTATATATTTTTAGTTGGCCAATTAATTTGTTTCTATTTTTAGTAGAGATAGGGTCTCACTCTTGCTCAGGGTGGTTTCGAACTCCCGACCTTGAGCGATCCTCCCTCCTCGGCCTCCCATAGAGCTAGGATTACAGGTGTGAGCCACCTCGCCCAGCCAAGGTGTCAATATTTTGAAGATCAAGAGATTTCACATAGACACGTGCCGTGTGCCTGCCCTTGCAGCGCCAGGCTGGCGATATGCAGCCCGCTGTCCTGTGAGGGGCCTGCCCTCTCCCTTTCTCCACGGACCACACCCTTCCCTATTGCTTCTGCTGGTCAGTGTTACCCACGTACGCTGTCTTCCCAGTCCCTGTGGACATGTGGGTTTGCAATCCCCACAAACTCGAAAAGCTCGCAAGCTGCAGCACCTGGGCTGGGTGCAGTGATGGCCTCACATCCAGGCAGCCTGGTCCCCACGCCTGGGATTTACCTCTCCTGCCGTCTAACAGGGACCGCAACGCTGGGATAATGAGAAAACCGAGGTTCCGCCAGGTTGGAGTCATCCAGCGAATCCACCTGCAGCTCCTCCCTCCGGCTCGCTTGGGCTTCGCAGAGACAGCTTTCTGGATCTCACCCCACACCTCCTGGGCCCAAGGCTCTTGGTGGCAGGGTCGGGACTCTTGTCCGTAAAAGCTCTCCTGGAAGGGGCTGGGTCAGGTTTGGGCCCCTGTGTCAGGGGCAAGGTGGGGGCTCCGGCCCTGCTCCAAGCCCCGTAAAGCGATGATCTCATCCCTCCCCAGTCCAGATTTCGCCCCAGATTTCCTGCTCAGTTTAAAGCCAGCCGCTCTGGGCTCTTCACCTGAGCTCCTCCATGTGTGGATGGAGAAAATAGCTCCCGCCCCCCTCCTGCCTTCCAGGAACCGGCATGCGGGGCAGGGCCAGCGGCAGGCAGGAGGGGCCACGGGGGGCGGGGGGAGGGTGCAGGTGGCTGTGTTTTTCTCTGCGCCACCAGTGCCTGGCCTCCCCTGCCGCCCCCTCTTACCCCTGATTTGTGCCAAACCCGCATTCCGCAGGGCCCTGGGCTCTCCCCAGCTGCTCTGGCCCCGCCCCAGCCAGGAGCCTCTACCTCCCACTCCCGCCTCCCCCAAGGGGGGCCTTGGAGCTGTGACTAGCTAATCGAGGAATAAAATAGGGAACAGCCACTGAATCAAAGAACCTTGGCTTTGGGAGTGGAGGCTGGCGGGAGGCTCCATAACATAGGCCACCTGAGCTCGAGAAGGCCCAAGCCGGAGCTGGGACCAGGGGCGAGGAGGCCGTGGGGCCGGGGCCTCACCCACAGCTCAGCAGTTGAGACAGACTTGAGCTTGGACGCGCTCAGGGTCGGATCTTGGCTGTATGGCACTTGGCGGAGCTGTGTGACCTCCTTACACTCCGGACCTCACAAGCCTCCGCCTCCTCATCTGAGGACACAGGCTTCGGGGCAGGCCGTCCCTGCAGGGAAGCTCCAAGGTGGGGATCAGGTATGGCTGGCTCAGGGCTGCATGCTCAGCACATGGCAGCTCAGGCCTTCCATAACCACGGGGGGATCAGATGGCTATTGACTAAACAAGCACTTGCACGTGAGGCCTTCATGCAGCACTCAGTAGCAAAGGGGCCGCAGCAAACACCGGGCAAGTATTCGCGATTGTCGTTGGCGGCCACAGGGCGAGGCCTGGGAACATGGGGATGGTGAAGTTCTGAGGGAGCCGGCAGAAGAGGTTCCGCGTGAAGCCCCAGAACCCCCGGAGTCCCCAGGCGCCCACTCGGGAACTCTGGGGGCATCGTCTGCTTGGGTCCCACATCCCCGTTTGCCACCTGGTCCTCGGCACAGCTGGGCCTTCCCAAGGGGAATTTAAGAAGCGAAAGAGGAGGAAGTCACAGCCCTCTGCTGATCCATCTAACCAGACCTAATTAATCGATGAGCCAAGCTGCCACTTTCCTGCCAACCAGCCGCCTGAGGAGTACTTACTCCATCTGTGAATCGATTGCCGCACTTTCGCCACCACCACGGCTAATCCACGCCGCCCACAGAGGCTGGGTGCCAACGGGGGCCGCAGGCCACCAGACAGGGACCACCCTGCCACTTGGCCAGCGAGACATGGACTCCAGGCAGTCCCAGTCCTCTTGTCACAGGTGGGAAACTGAGGCCCAGAGAGGGGTCCAGATGGGTGGGGCTGGAATGCCAGGTCGGCTTGCCAGGGCTGCAGGGCCACCACAAGGCCCTGACTGTCACCACCCCCGCCTCCACCCCGCAGCCAGCCCGGACGCCAGGACCCCACACTGGTCGCCCAGTGAAGCCTAAGGCAGCCGTGACCAGACTCCTGTGGACGAGGGTCCCCCTGCCACAGCCAGCGCCAGTCAGAAAACAGGCCGGGGTCAGGGGAAGGCCTGGGGACCTGGTTCCCACCCCCGAGCTGCTAAGCCCAGTGGGATTGGGGGGCTCGGGGGTGTCTTGTACCAACCAGACAACTGTCTCCTGAGGGCGGAGGTCACAGAGACAAACAGAGGACAAAAGCCAGGACTCTCAGCTTCTGCAACAGTGCCCACATAGAGAGTGGTTTCCAGAGCATTCCTGATTTTAAACACCCCGTCTCGATCAGGGCAGGGCCGGCGACCACGGGAGTCAGAACCACAGGCCCCTGTGTATGCACCTGCCCCACGCCCATCTGCCAGCCTTGACCCTGACTCCCGCTTCACAAACCCCTTGCCTTTGCACATTGTCAAAGTAAAATAAAATGCAAGCACAAGCTGAAGACGGAAGCACCACGCGGGCCCCTCCCAACGCCGCTTGGCAGGCACCCGTGACATTTCTCCTGTGCCTGCCCAGACTTCTCTCCAGCGTCTCTTTAAGATACAGAGATTATACACACAGGCGTATCGTACACTTTACAAAACAGGATGATGCCACACACACCATGCAGCAAACTGCTTTTTCCACGCGTCAGGAATTACACACTCGGCAGCGCTTAGAGCCTGCGGGGGGACAAGCCCACAGGGCGTCACCCAGTGGGGCCTCTGGTGTGGCCCCTGCCCACGCCTGCCTCAGTTGCCCTCCTGGCCCCATCATGCTGCACACCTCGCTCTCAACTCCGTCCTCCCTCAGCCCGCCCCAGCCCTCTACATTGTTTTGTCCGGTTTTTATTCAACTTTTTTTTTTTTGCACATGTTATGTGCTGGGCACTGTTCTAAGGGCTTCATCAACCTCACTCATTCGACCCTCAGCCCGATGCAACGAGAGAGGCGTGACCGTCACCACCCCCTCCACAGAGGCCCCGCCCCACAGACCGGCACGCTGTCTGCCAAGTAGACAAATGACGCGCGGAACCACTTAACCGCCCACGGTCCACACAGTTCCTGGGAATCAAGGGCTGCTGTCACCTCCTCTGACAGGCTCCTTCCCCTCCCCCGACGTGTCCTCTAACCTTGTCCTTCTCTGGAACTGGGGCTACCTCGTAAGTCGGGGTTGTCCACACCCTGCACGCTCCAAAGGAAAGTCTGACCCAGCCTGGCTCCCGGCAGGTGACCTCTAACCCCATAAGCCTGGGACTGTCCCATCTGTAAGTGTCCCTGTTAGCCAGGGGGTCTTGGCCACACCAGAGTCTACGCTAATGACATGACTTGGGTGGGGGGGTGTCATTGGCCTCGCAGCATCAGCTCAGCCTCTGGAAACCGAGACAAGGCCAGCCAGGAAGGCCCACCACACCCAGCCGCCAACTCCTGTAAAAACCGGACGCCAAGGCTCGCACAGGTGCCCCGGCTGCGGGTTGTCCCCGAGTGCCCTCCGACACTGGTGCTGGGAGAGCTCAATGCAGCCCGCGTGGCCCCACCGGGAGAGGACAGCCAGAGCTGCACCTGGCTCCCCTGGGCCTGCCCGGTGCACCTTGTCCTGCTGCCGACTTTAATCTCTGTCCTTTCACTGCAACAAGCCATAACTGCGAGTGCAACAGCTGCACCGAGTTCTGTGAGGCTTTCTGGTCAATCATTCAGCCCGAGGTGGTCCTGGGGGCCCCGACATCCACTGAGTCAGTGGACGGCTCCCGCAGCTCCTGCACGCCTGCGCCAGGCGCCATCCCAGCCCTGCCCACGCTGGCGGGCCCCACTCCTGCCGTCCAGACCCCCGGGCCCTACGGAGCACGTCTGTCACCCACACGTGCACCTCCCTCCATGGAAAGGCCCCGGCATGTCGTTGGTGCAGCCCCAGACACCCTAACTGTCCCTTTGATGGGGCACCGGGCAGCATCCCAGGAAGCGGGCGCCGTCCCAGAGAGGCGCCACGTCCCGTCCCGGGCACTGGGTCACATTCCGGGTTCCAGGGGACGCCCCCGGGGCCCGCGCCAGGCCTTACCTGCCAACGACCTCGATGTTGGAGATGGCGTAGAAGTACTTGTAGAGGTTCTCCCGCTGCACGTAGGTGCCGCCCAGGGCGGGGCGCAGCAGGCGCATGCGCAGGTCGGTGAGGGTGAAGAACTCCTTGAGGCCCTTGGCGCTCTCCAGCCGCGCGTACAGGTTGTCCATGTTGCGCAGGTCCGGGCCGGCGAAGATGGCGAAGCGGTCCCGCACCTCGAAGCGCACGTGCTTCTCCTTCTTGGAGCCCGCCCAGCGCGAGTACTCCTCGGTGCAGAGCACGCGGTGGGCGCTGGAGGGCGACATGTCACGGGCCCGGCGGGCGGACATGCCGAAGGCCTCCATGCAGTCCTCCGCGTAGAACTGGTAGGGCTGCCACGTGCGCCCGTTGTCCAGGGACTTCTCCAAGACCATGACGGTGGGCCGGCCGTACTCGAAGGTCACCACCACGTCGTCCGTCAGCTCCACGCTCTTGTTCCAGGACAGGGTGATGTTGGCCTCCAGCGGGCTCGGGTAGCGGCTCCACGTGATGCTCTGCCAGTAGGTGGCCAGCCCCTCGTCCTCCTTGTCAAACATGAGCCGGGGCGGGTGGGCCAGGTCCGGGTTGGAGGCGTCGCACTCGTTGCTGCACAGGTAGGGGTTCTCCTGCAGCGGGGAGGGGAGAGGGCAGGGTGGGTGCTGGCTGCTCGGGTCCGCCCGGGAAGCCTCCGCCCGGCCCGGCCCGTGCCCGCGCCCGACACCTGCTCGGCGGTCACGGAGCCTGTGCTCCTGCGTCCAGGCACCAGGTGGTCATTCGTACCCACTCCCCCAAAGCGCACCAAGCCACGCAACTCTAGGGCTTCCCGAGAGAGCACACACTTGTTCCTACTCTAAACACAGACAGCCGAGAAGGGTGGGTGCTAGTCCCCTGATCCGGAGCCCTCCATGGCTCCCCACTGCCTGGAGGATGAAGTCCTCACTCTTTAACACATCGACCCTGACCTGCCCTCCCACGCGTGTTCCTGGGCCTCCCAGCCGAGCACTCCCGTCCTCCAAGCCCTGCTTCTTGTCCGTGCCTCTGAGCCTTTGCAGATGGCATTCCCTCTCCTGGATGTGCCCTTCCACTCTCTGTCTGCCTCAAAAATTCCCATGCATGTCCTTGACTCTTTAAACATGTCCTACACCACGATGCCTTCCCCACCCTTTACAAAATACCGTCGGGCGCGGTGAACACCTCGGGTGCTCAAAGGGCGGCTGGAAGCTCCAAGCCCCTCCCCCATACCTTGCCCTATGCATTGCTTCCAGTTAGCTGAACCAGTAAGCCTAAGTCGAGTACCTTTGTGAGTGCTGTGAGCTGTTCTAGCAAATTCTCAGACCCGAGGGGTGCTGGGGGAACCCCCTATTTGTAGCCCATTGGTCAGACGTACAGGAGGCTCCGGACGTGCAGTCAGGGGGGGTCCCCCAGGACTGAGCCCTTCCCTGTGGGGTCTCACGCTGCCTCTGTGCAGTTAGTGGCAGAACTGGACAGAATCGGTGGACACCCGGTCGGTGTCCAGAGCTGGAGAACCGCTGGGAAACCCCACACATTGGTGTGAGAAGTACTGTTCATAGAAACAGGTGGGAGGGGCGCTGGTTGGGGACCACAGGGCGCCGCCCCTCGCTGGCCCGCCCCCACCCACCCTACCTGGCAGGTGCGTCCGGCTGCAGAGGCCTCACTGTTCTCCAGTGCCCCAGGGAAGCTGGCAGCCCCGCTGCCCCGGCCGGCAGGTCCCAGCTGTGGCTTCCCCGCCATGGCACATCAGATCCCTCCCCCGAGTCTGGTCCGAGGTGCGAACTCGCCCCAGAGACGGGGCAATGCCGCTACCATAGTGGCTGCTGGGGGCAGAGCATTTGGGGACAGTGAAGCTACTCTGTGTGATCCCGCAATGGCGGTGCACGCTGTCACGCACGCGTCAAAACCCACAGGCGCACACGAGCCCAAGAGCGGAGGGCCTCTCCTGTAAACCACAGACTTTAGTTAATGGCAACGTACCAATACTGGTTCACGACAAACGTCCCACTCTCACGCAAGATGCTGATAAGGGAAGAGGCCTGCAAAGGGGGCGGGCAGTGGCGGCACTCAGCACTATCTGCTCAATTTTCTGTAAATCTGAAACTGCTCTAAAGTCTATTAATTAAAAAGAAAAAAAAAGGCACCAGAAAACACTGTCACTAACAGCTCACAGCGCCCCAGACCACTCACAGCCCTTTTTGATGAATATTTCAGGCGTCTGGCTTGTTTAGAGACAAAATGGCTTGGATCTTAGTTAAAACCTCTCGCTCTCAAACGAGCCGTCTGGCCCCCATGGGGGAGTGGCCGCCCCCCTCCCCCCTCCCCTGCCAGGCGTCACTGCAGCTGGCCCCAGGCCCGGGGCTTTGATCCAACATGGCGGAGGACAGGTCCCCAGGCTGCCCGGGGCTCCTCGGTGGGCGGGGCTGGCCCTGGGTTCACAGAGCCCTCCCTGGCCAGAAAATAGCTCTGTCCGCTGGGGCCACTGTCCCCTCCGCCTGGCCTGGCCCTGCTGCTTCACGGGACCCAGGGTGGAAGGAATTCACTATGGAGCCCAATGGCATATTAAGCAGATAGGGAAACTGAGGCCCAGGGCAGGGCTGGCTCTGGTGGCACTTCTGAGGACAAGCTGCTCCTGCCCGGTAGGCGGACCTGGTTCACCCCATGGGGGTCTGAGCTTTCTCACGCTCTGGCTGGGTGACTCTGGGCCAGTCACACCTGGTCCTATGCTGTCACCTGACCGGGGAGGGGCTGAGAGACGTGTGGGGGTGGCTCGGTGGCTTGAGAGGGCAGCAGGCTCCAGGGAGGGGCGCGCTGAGCCCAGGGGTGGGGTGGGTCAGCTGTGCCACTGGGGAGGAGTGCGGTGGGATGGTGACCTAAGGGCTCGCACCGGGGCAGGAGGGCCGTCTGCCTCCAGGCTTGTGCCTCCCCCAAAGCCTAGCAATCCCCCCACCTCAGTCCTGGGCCTCGTTAGGGGCTGAATTGCATCCCCCCAAATTCCTGTGTTGAAGGAACCCCAGTACCTCAAAATGTGACGGTATTTGGGTACAGGGCCTTTAAAGAGGTGACTAAGGTTAAAGGAGGCCCTCAAGGTGGGCCTGAGCCCGTCTGCCTGGCGCCCTTAGAAGAGGGGACCAGGACAGGCGGAGGGACGCCAGGGCTGGGAGAAGAGGCCACTGGAAGGCCGGGGCAGGCGGCGTCCGCAAGCTAGGGAGAGCGGCCCCAGGGGAAACCAACCTGCCAACGAGATGCTCCGGACCTCCGGCCTCCAGGGCTGTGAGAAAATGAGCATCTGCCCCGTCAGCCCCCGGTCTGCGGCGTCTTCGTGGCAGCCGAGCGAAGCAAGACTCGCCACATCCCAGGTGAGCGGGGCAGCAAGGCGGGAGGAACAGCCCAGGGGGAGGCGCCGAGCCACGCATGTTTGGTGACTTCCCCAGAGGCTCTCTGGGCCCTCCCTGCCCCCATGAGTGGTCTCTCTGCACATGGCAACAGGTGTCACCGGGCCGCACGGCCCACCTGGGACACTCCCACCCACCCAGCGCCGAAGCTGCGCCTTTCCCAGGCCGCCGCCCCCACTGCTCGGAGCTCCTGGTCCCTCCGCCGCTCTCCCTCCTCCCGGCATTCGGAGTCCTCCCCGTGCTCCCTCCGGGAAGCCCTCCGTCCCGACTCAGCCCCCGAGCCCCCGCTGATGCCGAGCCTATCCGCACAGTGCAGTGAAGCCTCCACGTGGGGCCCGGGCCTCGGTGACTGCTCATTAAATTACAGTTATTATCACATTAAGTATTAATAGCTATTAATATAACGACAATTATATCAATAATATATCTCATACTGAGTGTTGGTATTGTTCCTGTCCACCCCCAACTGCTAATGTCACCCACACCTCACCCTTTCCCGGGTCCCTCTCTGTTGTCCCCCCCCACCCCCTGCCCCCGGCCCCACCTCATGTCCCCCACCCTGCCCAGCCTCCTGGTGGTCTCCACGGGGCAGGGGGGGCCACACAGCATCCCCCAAATCCCCCACCCGCACCCCGCCTGTCACCGGGAAGACGGACACAGCCGGCTCTGCCAGGAGACGGGGCGCCACGCCGCCCTGACCCGCAGGGCCCGCCGCCCCCGCCCCAGGCCCGGGAAGCAGATGGTCAGAAACTAATGAATCAGCCTGTGTGTTTACCAGCCGCGCCTGCTGCGGAGCGGCTTAATCAACAGCGAGCACAATAAATAAGTCCGGAGCGTGGCCAGCGCACTCTCTCCCTCTCTGCCTCCCCCGACCCCGCTCCCCACCCTGCTCTGCTCCTCCCGCTGCCCTCCCAGCCCACCGAGGAGGAGGCCCGTTTCCCTCACGAAGGCGCCGTCCACGCGGAACTGACCCTCGGACCCTCGTTCCCTTCCCAAACGCGGCATTTGCTCACGGCCTTGCCTGCCTTCTCTCTCCGCACTGGGGAGCGTGGCCAGGAGCGAGCTGGGGGGTGGAGGCCGGGCTCCCCCCACCGCCCCCACCGAGTGCTGCTCCCACAGCTGACGACGGCGCGCTCGAGAAGGAGGGGAGAGGCCGGATTCGCGCCTCCGAGGGCGAGCGCCTTCGTGGTCTGCACACTTCTACCACCTCCAGGAGAGCAGATTAACTCGTGATGAAAACAGCAGGCAAAGCAAAGTGGTCTAACACAGGCGGAAAAGCTGGGAATTTTTGGGGGGGAGATGGGGACAGAATCTCACTCTGTCACCCAAGCTAGAGTGCAGTGGCATCGTTACAGCTCGCTGCAACCTCAAACTCCTGGGCTCAAGCCATCCTCCTGCCTCAGCCTCCTGAGTAGCTGGGACTACAGGCGCACCAGCACGCCTGGCTAATTTTTTCTATTTTTCGTAGAAACGGGGACTCACTCTTGCTCAGTTTGGTCTCGAACTCCTGAACTCAAGCAATCCTCCTGCTTCGGCCTCCCCGAATTCTACGATTAGAGTCATGAGCCACCACGCCTGGCCGGGAATGTTTAAGGCACACTTTCTAACCTCTTAGGATGGCACCAAAGCCCACCTTTGATATTACTGAAAGCATGAAATCGATTCTTTAAACATTTCACGAATATTATGAAAAAAAAATCATAGCCCTGATTAAAAGCCTTGGAATTTTCTCCAGAAAAGAGCAGTAACAACACATTACATCTTCCCTGCAATTTCAAGGGGTTCATGGAGCCCCATGTCCCCAGTTAGAAACCCCGTGTGAGTCTGGGCAGTGAAGGAAGCTGGCCGGGGTCTGGACGCCCTGAGTTCCACCTGGGCGCTGTGCTCTGCGGCTTTGTGACCTCGGCAAAGCCACTCTACCTCTCTGAGCCTGTTTTCTGCGCCAATGTCAGGTGACACAGCGCACGTCTCCACTCCCCAGAACGCCCAGGAAACGTCTCCGAACGGTGGTGATTGTGTGTCATCACGCAGCAGCTCCCCAGGGACACCCCCTGCGCCCTTCCGAGGGAGGATGAAGCGAGTCTGAGACCACCAGCGAGTCTGAGACCACCAGGCGGGTGCTCGGGAAACCCAGGGACTGCGTGGCGCGGCCCCCTCGGGCGGGGACGGCTGACTCAGGAGCCCAACGGTCGCAACGCTCATCGATCGTAGCCCCGCGC